CATTTTGTAAGTAAACTGCAAATATTACCCCTGAATTCGAACTCGGGTTCTCCAAAAGGAAAAATATGATTAACATACAAGAGCAACAATCTGAATATCGTAGTGTCTTGGAATTCCACAAGGTGCAGGCGTTTCCCACAAATTGATTCATGTGGCCGATAAGCACATTTTTCGGTAAATACACCCATACTAGACAAATTTTCTCACATAGATACAGATGGATGTAATCCAACACCTAATAATTTCTAATCTTATAAATGTGCCAGAGTGTTCCAAACTGTTTGCTTGATTCAACCCATGTTGTTTGCAGATAACAGAAGAGCAATAGTGAAGAGAACAGTGCAGTCGGCGTGGCCTCCTAACTCAGTTGGGGGAGTGTGCTACATGCAACAGCTTAGACACTCTCCATGCACGGGTTCGAATCCCACCGAACGTAATGATCTTTCACAAAGCAAACAAAGATTTATTGTTTTCATTTCTGTGCAACTGTTTATAGTTCCAGAAGAAAAAAATAGAAATTCATTTGTCAATGGATTATGTGTAAGCGAAATCTTGCTCTGCATTTTGCAAGATATTGCTACGCCAGGAACTGGTACGCTTTCATGCATCTCCCCCTCCTAATCGGGTTCCTCTAAACTACCCATAACATAACACACCTAGCGACTCGTGTTTTGGTCTAAAATTAATTTTACTCACATATACTGGTTTATGTATTCTTCTAAATAACGGGAGATGTTTGTTAACTTCTGTGGCTTTATGCGCAATCTTCTGACTCAGAAAATGTTGTTCCTTGCCAAATAATAATGTGAGTATTATCTCCTAAAGTTTTACCACTGAGATGCAAACGAATTGCCCCGTTAAAGACTTTCTTGGTCATCCCACTTGACTTTTCATGCTATCCTTTTCGATTCATTGAGGACACTCCGAGAGGGTGTTAGTGGTGGTATACTGTTTCACATCACCCTACTGGTATTTTTCAGGAAGCAAATCACCCGTGATCTCAGGTCTGCCATAATTCAACTGAGTAGCGCTCATTGTCTGTTGCGGGCCTTATTTGGATCGCCACTTCACTTGTCGCCGTGTGCGCAGGCTATCGGGTGTACCTTTAACTTAAAAAGTCATTGTAAAAACGAGGCTTTTTCGTGGTATAATAACCAAACATTTCTGTGGGGATTGTACGGTGCGGACTCAAATAACTTTGATATATTGATTCGTGGGTGAATTGTTGAGCAGTCCCCAAATACATCTCCGTTTTCACTTTTTACTTATCTAAAAGATATGGCTTGAGTTGGATCCAGATTGTTAAACACAAGTACGGAACCGATAAACTGATCAAAATTAATGTAACAGTTTGAGGCAGAGAGAAACTTTTAGAACTCAGAAATGATTCCATGTATAAATTCGAAGAGCAAAAGGAAGGAGTTACACTTCGTCAGTAATTTGTGGGATTTATTTCTTAAATGTTTTGTAAGACAGGGAGTAGAAGAATTGCAATTGGCTTGTGTATACTGAGTATTAAAAGCGTCGATTAGTGCTACATAATTTTTTGATTTTGTTAGAATGAGGGTCAACCACTTATTTTGAATGGTATTTTTGTATCTTGCTAGACCCTTACTAAGTTTTATGCAACCAAATTTAGACAGAAACTGCAACCAATTCTAATGGAATTCAACTTTGCATGAGATCACGGGTTTGGATCCAACATATGCCGAAAAATGTGATACAATAAAGATACACATAGTTTTTTTCATTTGCTAGTTTTTTAAATGGCCAAGTTAATTTTGGGAATTATATCTAAATCACAAACTCTTAAATGAACTGTCAGTGGGAAAATGCAGATATATATGATTAATTATTCACACTGATATCTGGATGCCATGACGTGCTAAATTTCTTGTGTTTTTACTTCCTTTTTATTTATTGAATACACAAAGGCTGCCTGGAACAACTCAACAGATTTGAGGTAAAATAGCTTGGCAACTTTTGGGGTTATTTTAAATTCTGATTTATAGAAAAGCGATTATCGGAGTCAATCAAAGAAAGACGGATTTTCTCATGCATGAAAAGCCTTTTGAAAATATTGTTATCACTGATAAGTGTGATAGGCTTTTCTGTTGCGATTTATGCCTGCTGTAGGCCTAGATGATCGGATCTGTACAGATTCTGACCCAGGGTTTTGGCGCATTCCTCCATTAAAACGTAAGAGTAATGCACAGGATATGTAACAATAAACTCCTACTGATGTTGTACAAAATACGAATAGAAATATGAAATCATTCCCAAAACAGTTTGTTGCTGATTATGTGCGGTTCGTACTTAATTTCTTTCGGGTCGATTTCATTATTTATCACCCGTTCACAGTATGGTTTCTATTTCAGGTTAAGCATGATTGTAATCGACCCGGTACTCGTATCTACTAGAATGACGCGCAAGGTTGACCTATTTTCCGTGAAACGGTTGCAGGTTTCTGGCCCGATTTTGCTTATCAGCTTATTCTGATATGCTTTTGCTTTGATTTATTTGTATTGAAATGCGAAAAACTGTTTAAAAACAGGATGCAGCCACATTATATAAACTAGAACACTAATGAAAGCAGTTTCACTGTCAGAAGTATACCATTCTGTTGCATTAAATGTGAAAGAAGAAACGAGCGAGGATGGGAACTTGGGACAGATATTCACTAACAGCCTCGGTAGTGAGTTAGCCAATCTGGTTGACCGTGGAAAATGACATCTGTTGCTCGCAAATACGATAAAATACATTAAGCATTTCACATTCAGTGTTTTTTTATTGCTTCTAGCTAAGTCCTTGGTTCAGGTTTATAATAGTAACGCGGTTAGGATGCAACAAAGTGATTAAAAAAACTTTTTCACATTAAATCCCATCAAATCACAGGGTTTCAGACAAAATTATTGATTGGGATGATAAGATCAGCTCAGTCAAACAGTTTACCTTGGCTCGTCGCACCTAGCAAATCTCCTATAGAAAGGAAGACAGAATTCTCCATCGCACTTCATCTTTCTCAGCTGTGTGTAAAATGAACGACGCAAAGACGATCAGATTCAGTGAAGTCACGAGATTAAATGCCTAAGCGATTTCAATTGCCGGAATGGAAGTGCCTGTTGATGAATCGGCGTGCTTCGATCGAACTGATTGAGGCCTAATTCGGGCTGAATACGAGGGTCTTCTTCAATCGACAAATGATAGCATGCAGCTCAAGTAAGCACAGAATATGAATCAGGTTTGTTAATCAGGAGGACCGGGGGACGTTTTTTACTATTTGTTTACTTTGACGAACAAAATCAAATCCGAACCATGTTGTTTCAATATTTATTTCAACTGCTAACCGAACGGAGAGCGTTTTTATTCGATCAAACGAGGAATAGCGTTATACTACAAAAGAAGCCCCTCAGTTGACCGGAAACGAAACAATTCTCAGTTGTGAAGGAAAAATCTGAGGGCGAAACAGCCAAACACAATGGCTGGTGGCCCATCTTGAATACAGTTGATATAACTTCAAATAAATTTTGACCGCTATGAAGGGACAAATTTACGTGATTTAAATGAATTTGAGGGCGAACGCATTTTAAAGTGAATTGTGACAAAAAGTGATTACTTATAGTAGTTGTGATGATCATTCTCCCTAATGGGTGGACATTCTTGAAAGAAAAATAACATTTTTACATTCTTGTCTCCACAAACGAGGTAAGATGGGTTTAATAGGTGCTAAGCTCTCTCAGAGCATGCTATTAAAGTAATTCCATATGATAAACTTCATAAACATTGTGTGGGTTTGAAATAGTGAAGATATTTTAGAAACCAGTCTTGTTCTCAACCATGAGTGATTAATTTTCATAATAATCCAGATTATACTGCAAGTTGTTCCATCATTTCATGAACTTATCAGTCATTTGGATAGAGGAATATTGTACCCAGTCTGTTTTATTGGTTGTTAAATTTAGCATCCAACTGTGTTGCTTTGGATTAAGTGCTATTGAATAAACCTCTATCTTTCACAGCTGACAGGCTGAATGAACTAAATGAATGTCATTGAAGGTGGCATTTGAACAAACTTCAGTCAACAATTCCCGCTGGCCCCGATGTAATCTGTTGGCTATGGGATTCGATTCCCAGACGGGTCGGTGGATAGGCAACGCTGATGAGCTGTCGTGGAAATAAAAAACTCAATTCTTGAGATTTCACAATGTGTAGCTTCCTGGATGAACTGAGAATTCAATGTGAGGAGATGATGTGTAAGGGATGGCCAGACCAATCAATAATACTGATTTAACACTATTACTCAGAAGTCAAATATTCACACAGGTGTTGTCGACTACGATCGAGCACAAGATCTATTAAAGTTCCAGTTGTACAAAAGCGGGGTCATCATTTATGTCAGGTTGTTCCATTGGGAAGGGTGTTTTTGTAGACTTGCATCGAAATTAACCCGGTTTTATTATTTTGTTGTGCTATCTAGACTGATGAATGGGGACAGACAGTCGGCGGTTTGTTAAACAGTAAGAACTTATGTTGCGTGCTACATAATTCTAATTTTATGTACTGAAAATGTCACGCTTTTCAGGGTGAGGGAAAAAAGATTACTTTTAAGTGTTTTATTCATTTTTACTTTAAAAATAATAAATACCTTATCAAACCGTTAAGAGTTGTTTGATAGGGAATTTGTTCTAATACACAATAATTTGTTGTCAGTCGTACAATAATATTCTCAAACAGGAACACCTTCACATGGGTAACGCTGACTAAAAAGAACAGCGGTGAACAGCGTCAAAAAGTGATGACTAATGTTTATCAATTAAAGCCATTACTTAGATCACATTAATCATTTATCCATCCAATGGCTTTTTATCTCTTCCTCAGGTGGTCAACGATCGGAGAGAAAGAAATGGATGCACTGTTTTGAAGGTGTTACAGCTATCTTGTTTGTGGTCGCTATGTCGGAATATGATTTAAAACTAGCTGAAGATCAGACCACAAATCGGATGCATGAATCTCTCAAACTGTTTGAATCCATTTGCAATAGTCAGTGGTTCTTGGAAACCAGTATAATCCTATTCTTAAACAAGAAAGATTTATTCATGGAAAAGATCAAAGTTTCACCACTGACGATCTGCTTTCCCGAGTACAATGGAAGTCAAACTTTCGAAGAAACCTCAGCGTACATCCAAAGCAAATTCGAGGAATTGAATCGGCGAAAATCGACCAAAACGATTTACACCCATTTCACCTGCGCCACAGACACAAACAACATTCAAGTTGTGTTCGATGCGGTTATTGATGTGATCATCAAATCAAATTTGAAAGATTGCGGTCTGTTTTAGATTTGCAATTTCTGCCTCGTCCGTGCCTGTGTGTCTAGCTGTGCTCAGATAAAGGACATTTCACGTGTGTTCACACGCCCCCGTCAAAATGTCCAGAACCCCCCTTTTGATCATTTCATTCACGTTATTCAGTTTGAACATATGTGCACGGTATTCTCTATGTCCACAATTAGCCACATCGCGAAAGAAGATTGCATGTGATCAGACTGCGTATTGATCGTTTTCATCGAATTTGAACGGTATACCAAACAGGCGCCTTTTCAACATACCCAACTGACCGTTTCAACTTTCTATCGATTTGCAACGGATCCTCCTCTTAGTCTTTTCTCGGTCTGTGCACCAAGATTGATGCTCGTCTATCCGATATCATTCCACCCGTTACCCTCTCACAAAACCCCACCCCGGATGATCTCCTGTACACGTACTATTTGAGTTTTGTTTACATTTCACTTCTACACATCGCACGAGCGAGAGAGAAATATCACTTTGAACTGAGAGAGAATAGGCAATGAATGATCTTGAACAATTTGACTGTGGGCGCTGGTGTTCTTGTGAATCCCAATCGAGATATATCAGATGCACACGTGCTTATTGATGCACGTTGAGAATTAAAGAAGGCAGAACATTTTGTTTCTCGATTTTCACGCAAACCGCACAACAGATGAATTTGTTTCCTATGTTTGACGATAACAGATAAAGTTTTTAAATCATGAGAATAAATGTTCTTGTGCTAGATTTTATTGAGTTCAAGTTTCCTCTTTTTGTTTTACCATCAAACCGGGAGACAACGAAATGTAAAGACAATGGAGAGAAATTGCCTAATTAAAACCGATGTGGATTAAATTACGGGAGTATATTCGCAAGTAAGAGACTCGGGGGTGTTGGGATCTTAGCAGCATCCGTCAGTGTTTATTAATAAAGCGGAAGACAACACCAGCAAGAAATACGAGCCACTCGTCTCTCCTCCAAGTGGAAAACAGGTTCCGGCGAATTCGGATTAAAAAGGACCCATTTCGTTGAACCCGATCATCTTGTCACGTACGGTGTTGACATTATCTATCACGGTATAGTTGTAATTCCCGAGCCATGGTACAATTTTCAAAATTTGTAGTTGCTTTTCTGTTTGTGGTTCACCAAATGGAACATTTTGAGTGCAGAATTATAAGGCCGAGAAGCATCGTTTTGCTTCCCCCAAGGTGCATCGACTTGTAATAGCGAGCGACAAAATCTGGGACTAACATGTCGTACGGAAGAATTGGATACACTGAGCAACCGTGGATCACGCATGATACACTGCCAATTTGTTGATGATTTCCTCAGACAATTGTACCAATTACATCCAGAATAATCACACAGGATCAGTTTCAGTTTCTGTTTCTACAACCATTAATCATACACTATCGTGCGCCTGTTTTGGTCGCCCATTTGGATGAACATAAGCAGAAAAACAGTAAAGGTTGGAAGTAGGATCGAAGAGAACAGTTGGGATTTCAGTGGGATAATGTTGCAGAGAAATGGACAAAGTGCACGAACGCCTCTGTTTACGACACCCAGCCATATCACTCAGCGTCTCTAACCATCGGATACGATCATCCCGAGGTCCCCATCTAGGGAGCCGAACATCACCTATGTGACCCAGACTCTTGAAAAGGGTTTCATACCCTCATTCCAGGTCTTAGCTTGACCACCCTTGACTTGCTTCCACCCACTACCTTCCTCAGCGAACATCGCTCACCGCAGACACAGGATAGAATTTTGTGTACGGAAAATGCATTCAGCCCTTCTCTGTAGCCTTGTAACTAACTGCATGGTATATGGTTTGTCTAACCAGACCCAGGTCGACTATAAATATAGTTGGAATTGAATCAAAACTCATTCTAACAGAAATATCGTCATCAGTAACCTAGTCGGAAATAAATCGTTTTGATCATGGATTTCCCAATGGCAGAGAGAAAGTTGTATTCAAGAGACAATTTAGTCCGCATCAAATATTCTGCTTTTTATTCGTGGAATGAGATATAAAAAAGAAAATAATTTTCCGAGCATTTATGGATATGCACGTGAAAAACGGTTTGCCGTGCAGCAAACCACCGCGAATCGGACAGATGCCAAGTGCTCCGCTTGCTACGTCACACACCATTGTTCTGATCTGACTATAAACCTACTAACACGCCGGATGTGACGGTGCAAATACCAATTGAGCATTCTGTATGCGAGCTGACACTTCTTCCGTGATGCGTCCACTGGGTGAGGTATAGCTGCCCAGATAACAAAATTTGTCTACTTGCTCTGACTATAAACCTACTAACACGAAAATTACTGCAAGCTCGATTACATCAAAATCTGAATGAAGCAAAATTTGTCTACTTGCTCTATTACTTCTCCATTTAGGATAAAGCTGGGTGCAGGACTAAACCAGTCTTGAAATAACATTTTACACTTTGAGGGTGCAAAATGCATACATGGCAACACTAGCACTCAAACTATCCAGAAATGCATGTAACTTACCTGGATCTCCACTTAGTAGCACAATGTTGTCTGCATATTCTAGATCAGACAGCCTGCCACCTGGGAGTAAATCGACACCGGTATCCCTGCACGAAGATAGGGCTGTTTCCATAATCAGATCTATAACAAAGTTTAATAGAAAAGGAGAGAGAGAAACCCTGTCGAACACCACTTTCCGTGGTGAACTCGGGCAAAAACGTAAGCTCGGACTCGACTTCCGCTATTAGTGGAAAGTGATCGTAATATTGAAATAAACTTCTCGAGCGCAACTTTTAGAGAAAGGCAGCGTCAGAGTTTAGAGCGGTCGACCGAGTCGAAAGCTGTTTTCAGATCCAGAAAGACAGAGATGATGGGTCTACGAAAGGAATTTCGGTGCTCCAGAGTTTGGTGAAGAGTGAAGATATGGTCGATACAACCTCAACCAGGTATAAAGCCAACCTGGTTCTCACGCGTGCACTCTTCACGTGCGGCGAACAATCGACGGAATATGATCCCAGCGACGATGTTGATTAAACTAATTCCTCTGTAGTTTTTACAAGATCGGATTCCCAAATTACCTCATTTACGCCCACTTTCCTAGGGCCTGTATTCGTAATTAGACGGAAAAGATTGCGACTAGTACCAATAGCCACAGCCTTCTCCATCTCTCTACACTTTCCTATCCACCACTTCTCGCGGTCATTCCTCAGACTCTTGATGAGCTGGCGTTTGAGGGATTTGCGAGCTGTCAAAGGCGACATCAGGAGGAAGGGTTCTGTGGGCGTCCAGCGGGGTATCCGAGGTCGATGAGATCCNTTGTGTTTAGAGCCAGCGCGAGGTTCTGATGTTGTTTGAATATAGCTTCCTTGATTTGCTTTCAGTGTTCATTGAGTCCTTCGGCTGGTGATCGAGCTGATAGACGATCGGAGAGTTCCGCTTCGAAGGCCGATTTGCAGCAATCGCTGACGTTGTATCTTGGGTATCCGTTGTCGATGGCTTTCTTTCGGTTGTTTGCCAGGGGTAAGGAGAATTTGGCTCGTAGCAAAGCGTGTTCCGTATCCACAGGTAAACTAGTAAGAACGGCAGTCTTGAAGTCAGCGGTAACTGATGGCGATGTGGTCGATCTGGGTCCAGCGCAGTGAAGAGATTGGTGGTTTCCATGTAAAGCGGTGTCGTTTCTTCTGTGAAAAGTTCTGGTTTGACAGAAACAATCCGCGCAGAGTTGAAGTAGGCGATCTCCGTTGTCCGTTCGGCTAGCTGGGACTGCATGTGGTCCGCCAAGAAGCCTTTCTGATTCTTCCAGGGATCCCACTTGAGCATTGAAGTCTCCACCGACTACTACGATGTCCGTCGATCGAGCACTTTGGAGCAGTTGGGAGAGATCCTTGTACAATTCATCCTTGATTTCAGGTGTACTGTAATCGGTCGGTGCATACACGGATACGACGAACAAGCATTGACGCTTCGTTTTGTAGCTGTTGACCCGTTGAGACGTACAGCGCATAGTCGGCTACTGACTGGAATCTAGTCAAGAAGCGAGCGCTCAGCCTTGGCACTTAGCGCAAGCCCAACACCAACAACACCGCGAGCTTCGGATACTGAATAGCCTGAGACACTGAGGGTAAAGCGTGAGGTCGAAGTTGGGTTAGGAGAATGCAGGGTCTTGTATGCGTGTTTTGAGACATCATATAACTAAATTGAAAGTTTCAAGGGCTCTAGCTAAGGCAGCTTGTTCACCGAGCTGATAGTGTGCGGGCAATGAACGCGGCTAAGTGGAAAGGGAATTTCGGCTTCAAAAATCCTGTAACTTCTGATGATTTGGACTTTTCGGTGAAACGCCGAATGATAACAGATGGATTTTGTAAACAGCAAGCGTCTGGGATTATTCGGGATTGAGAGTAAGAACTAGACAGATGGGAAGCAGGGATTTCTAAATGGGTGCCTAAGACTTGAGGGCACTGCATACTTCGCGGTAGCCCGCACCGACGAAGGGGTTTTTCTTTGGGAACCCTAACCGGAGCTTTCGATTCAAAAGTCTGACCCACAGGGCAGTGGGGCGTAAATCCAACGCCGGAGCGTGAACGAAGCACGCATGTGGGAACTTCTAGAGACCTGTCACGCAAGGTTCTTGGGGTTCCGTTCAGTGTACTGTTCGCTAGTTCGTTGATTATCGGTCCACTTTTCGGGATCGGCCCTTAGCTTCATGCACCCAATGACGAGCGGAACGTGGACGGGACACCATCTTATTGGCTGGGGGCTGCCCGGCTTGAGTGGGCGGTAACTGTCCAATGAAATGCAAAGACTTCTCCAACCGTCGAGAGGAAGCCCAGGTACCACAATCTTACGTCCATCTAGCGGGGTTTTTTGACCGGTAAACTGCCCCTTACCGTGTTTATTTGCTGGAGTGGCCTTTCCAGGGGCGGGAGTGGATAGAATGAAGTCAGGAGGTGCCCCAGCAGCTGGCCTTGTGAGCCTGAGCTCCATCTGGTCTCTACCCGTTTACCTTCCAGGCA